TGAAGCGATGTGTAGGCTAGCACGGCCGTCATTCTGCAGGTAGCCAGGGATCATCAATGAATGTCGTCGCTATCCTAGGCTTCTTCTCTAGTAGGTCTAGTAGTTGTCGCTTCTAGCAGTGATCGTTGTGGTCCTGCAAGATTGCGGGGTGCAGCAGAAGAAAGCGAGAATCCTCGCAATTCGGTGCACCGTAACAGCTATGCTGAGGCCTGGAGCGTCTCGCTGTCCGGGCTGGACGTTTCGATTCGTTGTACGGATAGTTAAAGCCATGGGGTCCTCGGTGTTATAGCATTGGTGAGAACTTTTGCATCTTCAGGTTCGCATCTTGACGTTTACAGCCCAAGCTGTGTCATCTTGCTCTGGTGATGCTTTTCTGGGTTGCTTTTATTTTGCTTTTGTCTAAACAAAATAATGTTTTGCATGTTCTGAGTGCTTGCCTGCTGCTGGATCTCTTAAGTTACGGGGTAAGCGCCAGTCAAGTATCATTCAGGTTGTACATAGCACTTGGCTGTATCTGCCAAAGCGCAGGAGCAGACTTTGTGCACGGACTCCAGAAACAAAAAATGGTCGTCTGCTCATTTTTAGGGCAGTCCTCGCAACTTGCGCTCCAGGATGTTTGTGAGTGTATCCTGCCGAGTACCAGTTCACACTCACGATGCTCAGAATTGGCACGGCTGCAAGACACAAGGCAGAGCCGCAAGGGCACGGGTAATGCCGTCAGCACCTTGGGTTTAGGGTTTAGGGTTTATAGCTCTTTTTTACAAGAGTTTCTATTTATTTTGGACTTGTCTAGGGTGTTTCGGGTTTGGGGTTTGGTCTTTTTCAGCTCCTTTTACAAGAGTTTCTAATTGTTTGGACTTATATTGGACTTATCTAGGGTATTTGGGGTTTGGTGTTTATAAGCTCCTTTTACAAGAGTTTCTATTTATTTTGGACTTGTCTAGGGTGGTCTTTATAAGCTCCTTTTACAAGGGTTCCTATTTATTTTTGGACCTATATTGGACTTATTCAGGGTGTTTGGAGTTATCTGGGGTTGAAGAAGGTCTAGGGTGGGATGTGAGGGGGGGTGTAGGGTTGAGGAAAAAGTCCTCGTTTTGAAGGGTTTTTAGTACTCCCCAGGTGGAATGGTGTTGGGTTTTGGGTTTAGGGGCTTTAGAGGCCCTTGGTCCCTGTTTGTGCTTAAAAGGAACGAAAAACCAATAGAGAGACAGGGTTTTAGGGTGGGTTGTGGGGGGGCGGGGGGAGTGTAGGATTGAGGAAATAGTCTTCGTTTTGAAGGGGTTTTAGTACAGGGAGTAATCTTCAAGTGGTGTGGCGTTGGGTTGCGGGTTTGTGGTTCAGGGTTGGTGCTAAAGGCAGGTTATTTAGAGCTTGGGCAGCTTGGGGTTTAAATTATGACGATCAATAGGAGTTTCGTGTTTAAGGTTTAGGGTTTAATAATGGGAAACCCAACGAAAAGCTATTTTTGCAAGGGTAAGGTATCCTTTTGGGTTTTCCCAACTCAGCTGACTCCAATTCTCCAGGGGCTGAGGGTTTAGGGTTTAGGGTGAGTTGTGGATGGGTTCACAAGGGTGTAAAGCTACTTTTTCCTTAAGAAATCCTATGAATTTGGTAAGCCTATTTAAAATGTTTAAGGCTTGATAAGGCTAAGGTTTGGTGAAGGTTGGCCTCCGGTTTATAAACTCCTTTGTCGGAAAGGCTTGGAGAGGAAAAAGCAAAGGAAGAAGATAGGAAGAGTTGGGGAAGGCTTGGTGCAACATGGTGGTTTCAGGGTTTTGGCTTTAGGGTTTTGGGGCTTGGGGATCTTCAGTCTAAGCTTCCGTCCGTTGTCATCAACAGCTTTTCCTGCGCGCTCTTGCCTTAAGACGGGGTAAGGGTTGCATGGGTGCTGGCCGGCACCTCAGTCCGTGCTGAAAAAGGAAGGGAAGAGGCGAGGAAGAGGAGCCCTAAACGGGGTTGTGGTGTGCCATGTGCTTCCATGCATGGACTTGACTGAATTGCCTGGACTGCGCTGCACTCTGCACTATTTCAACTGCTGGCTCTGATGGGTCTGTTGGTTTACTGCCGTTGTGTGAGACTGCTACTGAATCCAGCTGACGCCCCTCAGCTCTGGTCATCCCTTCGCTTCTTCCTGATGTCCTTTTCGACTTCGTATTTCAGCCTCCACTTGAGCCTCAGAGCTTCCCTTCTTTCATCTGTTTTCTTTTCCTTTTCCTTTGCCTTTGCATCTTTCTTCCTCTTCCTGTCCCTTTGCCTTTGCTTCTTCAGCCTTTCCTGTTCTCGTGTTCTGATCCTCTTCTTGTTCGTCTTCTTCGTAGTCTTCTTCTTCTTCTCCCTCTTGGGCTTCTGCTGCTGCTTCTTGAGCTTCTTCATCTTGTCCTTCTCCTTCTGCTTGGACTTCTTTTGGGCTGCCACATCAGCATCCCATTTCTTGTAGGCTTCTACGAAGGAAGGCACCAGATCCGGCCATTGCCCTTCTGAGCCAGGGAAAATGGGGAAGCTATGGCGAGAAATCGAGTGGTCCAGCTCCAGTCTGGACGTGCTCGGGCTAACATATACCTTTGGTTTTTCTTCTTTGGTCCGAGCATCTTGAAGCCTGAGCCTCAGTACGTGCTTGTGGATTCCGAGGCTGATCTGCGTTGATTCACCCTGCATCTGCAGTGGGGACACTGCTAAGCTGCTTGGACAGAGTCCTTTAGGCTTTGACGGTACAAGTGGCACTGGAGTCGACGGCCATCTCGAAAGTGTATTTTCGCCGACGCTGAGGTATCAATTTAGGTTTGGGGGCATTCCCTCAGAGCCCTTCACGCTGTCCCGATGAGCAGATTGATCGGGAGCACAGGGGTTCGGGCACAGATGATTTGCTGAAAAGGGATCTCAAGATCAAAAGGGTGGACTCTTTCGATGCGGGGGCGGAACTCGGCGAAAGGCGAAAGAGCAGGAAAGTCTGTGTCCATGAACTGTAACGCTTGCAATGACGTGGCTCAGTTGCGACACTTCGAAATCTCTTGCAGCCGGGGCTTTGCTGCCATGGCAGGTTTCGTCGCCGTACTCATTGCAGCCCTCCGGGCGATAGGGGTGTCGGTGTCGGCTATGGCAGCTGGATTTCTCGGTGCACGTCTCGGTATCATCTCGCCACAGGCACAGAAGTCGATGGCAGATACTGGGCTGAAATTGTAGTTTTCAACAGCTCGTGACGGCTCCATTGGTCAATGCGGGTTCCTACAGCAGGGCCGGTGATGCAGACCTAGAAGCTTAGGCGATCTCCATGAACATCTTGATCCCTTCGTTGCTCTTCACGCGGATAATTTACTGTGACCAGTGCAACCAGCACTTAGCGCAGTGCACCCGCTGCAGTCCCTTCATCGACATCCTTTGCAACAGTTGGGTGCTCATTCTCCTGCCATTCGTCGTTGTGGGAATTGGGGTGTTTCTGGGGAAGCTGACGGCCGTGTTGACAGCTGCACCTTCAAGCTTCAGCAAGGGTACGATCTGTGCTATCGCCTTTGGCAACTCCACGGGCCTTCCCATTGTGCTGCTGACTGTCATTTCGCAGTCTGCGGCCTCACTAACTCCGCCCCTGTCCAGATCAGTCTCAGCTTTTGACCCCTTGCTCGTATACCCTCGTACCAGTATACTCCCCTGTTGGGAAGCTCTTCCAATCACCTTGCTGTAGGTCAAAGCAGCTCGATCCGCTGCAGCACCTGCCCGTCTATCTGATGCTGTACCCGGTTCTACAATGGAGCATCGGATCTTGGTCACTTCATCAAGGATTCAGTTTCAGCTATTTCATTTGCACATCTTCAATCAAGCGGTAGCTTCGTGTGTACTTGTCCAAGATTGCTCCTGCCCCGAAAAAACAGATGCCTTGATGTCGACGCAGTGTTCAGGCTCCTAGCAGACACTGCGGGGCCGCAGGCAGAGGCTGTGGACAACGACCCTGAAATCTCGGAGGTAGAATCGATACCAAGTTCAGAGGCCTCACTGGCGCAGACAAATAAGCACAAGTGCTGCCTTCGTGTTCTTCAAGAGCTCCGAAACGTCTTGCAGCAGGCTTTGACTCCACCCGTTCTGGGTGCCTTACTTGGCTTGCTAGTGGGCTTCACCCCTGTCCGCGCATGGCTGGTGGATCTTCGTGACCAGGATAACGATGCCCCTCTCCAGTGGTTCTATGCAGGGTTGTACAAGCTTGGAGACGCCGCAGTGCCTGTGAACCTTTTGATCCTCGGCAGCTCGCTTGCCAAGGGCGCAGACTTCCACGCCCTCCCTTGCCGTGTGGGCTTGGGAATTGCGTTCAGCAAACTGATCCTCATGCCAGGTTTCATGGTTCTTATCGTGTATGGCTTAATCCGCATCATCCCGAACAAGGGCTACTCCCTTTGGCTTGTAGCTCTGGTGGTGTCGTGCACTCCTACAGCTAACAACGTAGCTGTAATGGCCCAAAACGGAGGCCAAAGCAAGGAAGGCATGGCAACAGCCATCTTCCTTCAGTACTTGTTTGCTCCGATTTGCGTGACGTTATCGCTAGCTGCCTTCATTCAACTCTTGTCATCGGATTGGTTCCTGCCGCCTGTGTAGAATTTCACTGTGGAAGATTGCTGCCGGCCGGCTGCCACAGCTCTTGTAAAGTTGTAAAGGTTACTCACGGCCAAGGGCCCTTCAGCGGCACAGGGTTCAAGGGTTGCGAAATCAGCTTCTGGACCAGATGACGCATGCACGCCTCTGCTCGGAAAGGTCACTGCCGAATGCCGACCCTGCCAGCATGCAGCATCTGTGCTGAAACATGTGAGTTGCCAGGAAGGGCTTCACCAAGGACCTGTCGCCGCCATCGCCCAGCAGGGGTATAGGGCATGAAGGAGCAAGCAACATCGAGGGCACCGAAGCTAGACACTTTCCCCACATGCTCGCCAGCGCAATCCATCTGAACAGTCACTTAAACAAAAGCTTCGAACTCCAGTCCCGTTAAATTGCCCGGCACATCTGCATGCAAGCCACAGGGCCTATGGACACGCGCGAGAGGTTGAGGTGGGGCCTTTCAACCACGTAGCAGAGGATGACTAGACAAGTCTAGAGTTCATGCCCGTGTGCTGTCAAAACCTGTCCGTGTGAAACAACACCGTTTGGTGGGTTTCTAAGATCTTGGTGGTGCGAGCTGTGGCGGCATCCCCGCATGCCAGACCCAGTATCAGTACCAAAATCAGATTGACAGCTGATACTGTCTATTTGGTCAGTTGGTTGCTGAACTCCCGCCTCTTCTCCTCATTGGGACTCCTGTGTACAGTGTACACCCGTGCGGATCACGCAGTCGAGAGGCTTTTGTGGACGTCAATGTGTTGGTTTGGCTCTTGAGGGCAAGCTGGCATCCTAGAGACAGCCAATTCATTGCAGCATGTAGTTTTGACAGTGGCTCGAGCCTGCTTGTGGGCCAAGGCCGTATCGGCACTAGCCTGCCATGTCGGCGTCCCGTTCACAAGGCCCAGGTTTTCTCTGCCGACGGCACTCTCGGACTTGGCTTCTGAGCTTTGCCACCAGGTTCCAAGACCCTCGGCGATGCCGGTGAAGAGGCCCCTCCCACTCCCTTGCAAAGTGCGTACCTCAAGAAGTTGTGGCCGCTGTGGCAGGACGCCGCCACTGGGCCACTGGACCGGTCCGAGGTGCTCCACACAGGTGACATTGCCTCGGCCTCTGACAATAAACTGCTGGGCCTGATTCGTCAAACTAATTATAAACGACACACAGTGACACAGCCCCTGATGCCTTTGACGCAGTGAGCTCAGTGTGTCCAAAGCTCTGTCATGGCAACGTGCCAGTGGCTCAGGTCCTGCTGAAGTGTAGCTTGCTGGAGGAGACTCGCGAATGGCAGTTTGGAGTGCAATGGGTATTCCAACGCATGAGGGGTGACTGTTTTTTTGTTTGCTACAACCATCTCTACGCAAACTCAGCTGATCACGAAAGCTAGTGGAGCTTGCGGGGGTTGGTTCTGTACAAAAGACGGCAGAGCCGCCGCGATGATTCGGAGACATAGCCGTAGCGTACATCTGCCCAAGTGAAGACAGCAGCATTGCCTCAGATGCTTTCAGGTTCGCATCGACGCGTATGTAGGAGGGTAAGAGTTGTTGTTGTTTCTTGGGTTGAGAAACCAGCTTTGCCGGGCGTCGTTCAGCGGAGCCCTATAGGATCTGTTCACCAGTTCGCAACACAGCATACAAGGATGCATCATTCACACGCGCAGTTGCAATACACAGCTGTCACTTCTGTCCCCCTGGTTTGCTCTGCACTCAAGTTTAGATACTTGCATAGAGCAATCGACCGCCCCGGTTCACGGTCAGGGAGTCACTTGGTGAGACTGACTGCCGTGCCTGTAGGACCCCTCTGCCGAAGCGCTTCGGTCAGGCCTGGACCTTCTCAGTTGCCAGCTTCCATCTCTCGAGAGCCATGCTGCACCTTTGAGCGCCGTCCGCAGTTCCGGGCTCACATGTGATGTGTGGCACACAGATCCCGGAGGATTAGCCAATGGGCTGTTGCGAAGGGAAGCTCCCAAACCCCGATGAGCGGCTAGCTGCAGATTCCAGCGTTGCCTTCGGTTCTCTCGATCACAGAACTCAACTAGCCCAAGTTCGACCTTCTAAAGCCTCAAACTCTGATCTGTGTGTGTGCATTGTTGTTTGCTTCGTTTTCACCTAGAACCTGCTGCTTTGGCTTTAACCTTGTCAGGGGTCCAGGGAGCAGTGAGTCCCTGTGGCCCTCCTTGTGATGTCGAGCTCAGGTTCCTGAAGGTGCACGCGCCCCGGCCAGGGGGGCCCTTCCTTCCATGCAGCCCGGTCTTAAAGCCTTATTAAGGCCATGTTAAAAAGCCCTTATTAAAGCCTTATTAAGCCATATTAGTGTAACTGCTGGAAGATCAACCTATTTTTATGGTGGAAGTCTTCGGTTGAGGCACTTGAAGCTCTCGGTTTTCCAGCAGAACCAAGGCATGCCACCTTGCCTCAGCAAGTCTTCGTCGAAGTATTGGGTAACTCCCTGGAGCTGTTGCTTGAGCCAGATCAATCGTGATGAGGGTGTGGGCGCGTCGGAAACGAGACTTGGAGTTGATGTGCAAACTGCTGGGTTGAGCTCGCGGGTTGGCGACTCCCAGTTCCTGCAGCTTCTTGGTATAGGAGGTTCGAGATGAGACTCGAATTCGAGACACTTCGCTTCTCAGGATTGCTGTGCGCGACGGGCCTGGGGGGGCCTTACTCCTGAAGCTGGAGCTCTGCCCGCACCGCTCGTTCGGGCTGCTCGGCTCTTCCCAGAGACTCTTCGAGTTTGGCGATTTGTCGACGATGTACTTACTTCGGTCACCCGTTGCCCAGGAAGTTGAGCTTCATCCGTGATTGCAACGGTGAGCTTTTGGGAGCTATGGGTACCTTAGAGAAGCACCGGCCCATGGAAAGCCAGCGCAGCAGCTATGCCATCTACGGCAAGCAGCAGCTCTCCGGCTGTCAAGCCATTAGCGTGGAAGGCCAGGGCCTCCGACAAGTCTGCACATGAGCGTGGTTGGCATAGCATATATAAACTTTCCGGTCTCAGTCAGTTCTCAAACCTTGCACATGCATACCGGGCATACGGCTTCGTAGGCGAGATGCTTTATCAGTGGGCCACCGTGTCCCGGTCCCCATTCACGTACAATGCGAAGATGCGATTGGAAGCTCGGCTCATGTTTTGGACCGTCCGAGTGGCAAAGTTCACATAGTTGTCCTGCCAGCCAAGGAGGGCCACAGCAAGAGTGATCACGCCGAAAGCCCAGAGATGTCGGCACTGTAGCAAGATGACTACATTCTGAGCATGATACACCAGGCTGGAAATCGTTCTCTCGGAAGGTAGTGAAACAGCCAATCGGCCTCACTGAGCCCTCCGTGCATGGAGTGTGAGGGCGACGAAAGCTGTCGAAACGTCTGAAAACTCGCAGACACACCCTGCACATCTCTTCAAAGCATGAGCATGATGCAGACTCTGGCGCGCGGAGGCCCAATCCAGCTACAGGCTAGCCTTCTGAATTGGGCACTCGTAGCAAGAAGCTTCACAAGACTCTGCGGAAAGAAGGTGTGTGTGAAGCTCCGAAGTCAACTCCTGTTGTCCAAGGCCTGGACGCTATCCATGCGGACTGGACTGCCGCCTCCCAGATGGGTAGTGAGCAACAAGAAGCGCGGCGCCGCGGTGGTTCCGAGAAGTGTAGACGCTAAGACAAGCATCTGGTTCCAGATGTGTAGAATCTGTGTAGAATGCTGGTGTCCGAACTCACGGAAGCAGTTCGGATTCCCTCAGGACAAGAAGCTACACGAGTACTTGATCGCACCTGGCGTCGATCCTGGCCTGGTCGTGTGTGGCACCTTTGCCCAGCTCCTGGCACAGGACGAGCTTCTGTTGGACTGAGAGCTCGCTTTCAGCTGTGCGCCACTGGTTTCGGCCACTAATCCCGTGCACGACACCCGGAAACATCCTTTCGTTGGAGGCATGCAGAATACGTGCTTGCGGGTGATCGGAAAGTCATGTGCATCGCTCAACAGGAATCGGTTCACTAGTAGGGCTCTCTTGCATTTCTTCAAGCACACCGCATGCTCAGATAGGTGGCTGGCCATGCTCTACCCATCTCCACTTGGAGGCGGAAACAGAAACTACGCGGATAGTCATGTTGCCCGAGCCATGTCTTGGCATGAGCTTTAATGGCCTGCTTCCTTCATTTTGTTTTTCCGGAGATAATTCGAGTTGTCAAGTCATGCATAGAAAGCTGCTGCTGTCAAATCATTGACACATAGCAGCATTCGCCGTTGCCTCGTGCCTTGTCTGACGGATTAATCAGCCTCTTCAAGTCAGTTTGTGTTTGAGAGCTTAAATACAAGGGGTATATAAGAACGTGCTGTGATGTCGGAGGCAGGCTTGGGCAAGAAGCCGTTTTTGACACAAGAAAGCTCGATGGGAGTCTGTCGAACCCTCGGGAACCTGTCGAACCCTCCAAGCTTTGTCTCGGAATTCTTTGGCTAGAACTGCAGCCGAAACCTAATTCGGAACCACGCGAGAAGCGCCAACTGCATGTCATCTGGGACTTACTGATTTGCACACTCCAACATCCTCCTGAGCGCGGCCTCTTTTGACGTTTGTCTGCACCGCTCAGAAGTCCCCAAAAATGACGCAGTGGCTGCTGGATTTTGGGAGAGAGCATCCCGGGCTGTTTTCAGCTTGGCCTTGGACGATCTCTTCGCATGTGGCCTGCAAGGTTCATATCTAGCCGTAACATCCACTTCGCAGCCAGTGTGTGTGTGTGTGCATTTCACTACAGAGCCGTGTCCAGAAGTCTCGGCCCAGAAGTCGGTAGTGTGCTTTTGAGTGTGAAGTGGTATACAGCTACGTCACCTTGGCACTGCTTCGCACAGTGCGGATCATGTAGATCCCATTGCATGTGCAGAGGGCCTGTGTCATGTTTTCCAGGACGCGAGGACCTGTGGGCGGAAGCATAGGGCGCACTGTCCGCCATTGCCGCAACCACCATGTCGTTAAGCATCTCAGGATCGTTCGGTGCAAGGAACGTCACTTGTGCGAGAAGCGGTGTCGAATCACAGGAACCGGCTTCCTCACAGGCGATGCTGTGGAGTATGTGCCGAAGGCCCTCAGTGTGAGCATCAGATCGCCTGTTCGCCCCACCCCAGTTTGAGATACGCACGAGTCTCAACATCCTTCGAATCCGTGTGCATTTGCTAGCTGCTAAAGGTTTTCGAAGCCGACGGCGGTTGACCCTCAGGTTGAGCATGTCAGCAACTTCGCCACAGATGGGCAGCTGTCTCAGCACTACCTGTGTGACTTTGACTGTGACTTTGATGGTCAGGGATGGGTTGTCGCAGCTGTTGGCAAGTGGGGGATCTTGTGTCATTTGACCTACGGGTCGCCTCCTTGACGGTGCGGGCTCAGATCAAGAACCGACGATGAAGGAGTGCCCAGCCGTTCTTCTTTGAAGCAACAGTTGCCCCTTCCGCTTAATTACCTGCTGCAGACCCTGCACAAATCCAACAAGAGTCTAGAGTTTCTGCAGCCTCCAACTGCCTCTGCCTCCGTAGAGCCTTTTGAACTGCGAACCTGGAGCTGCCAAGAGAGCGCTTGCAAGTGATCCGACAAGGCTCGACTTCCGGGATTTCCTCTTCGTTGTCGTGGATCAGCTAAGCTACCGCGCGCTGAAGGACCCACCATGTGCTTCGGGTCTGTTCTCGTCGAATCTTGAAGAAGTCTGGCTCCAACTGTTCATATATATATATATATACACCCGCCTAGAAAGAAATTTGTATATGCATCTGTATATTCATGCATATACACACACACATATATATATATATATGTATGTATATATGGGTAGTATGGTATTGCATTGGATTGTTACTATCTCCGTGTTTTGTTGTATTGTGTTGTACTGTTGTGTTGTGTTGTATTGTATTGTATTGTATTGTATTGTATGGTAATGATGTGTATATGCATGTACGTATGTATGTATGTATGCATGCATGCATGCATGCATGTATGTATGTATGTATGTATGTATGTATCGGACCTGGTTCCCCTACACCTCGCCTGACGAGTCGAGTGCGAGTGCTAAATGTATGTATGTATGTATGTATGTACGTATGTACGGTTGGATGTATCTGTCTTTCACACTTAGTCCTGCCACCGAAACTATACTTAACATTCGGACCTTCAAGCAGTAAGCAGGGTCGCAGACCTTGTAGGAAGTTTGGTCAACACAGGACCTTCGCAAAAGGAAGAAGCTTCTCGTGACACCCTCAGGTTGGAGTCACCAGCGGCTTTTGCGCATTTTGCAGTAGTTGGAAATTGGGCACCTTCCACTTCCAGCATGGGCCGCAAGTAAGTCGCATGATATGTCATCAGAAGCTTATGCAAACTTCTCGTCAGACTTGCGCTGCGGGCCTGCTGCATGGTTTTTGGGTGCACACAGCCGTCCCCAAATGAGGAAGGGGTACACGGTCCGAGCCTGCTCGCGAAACACGTGCAGACTTCGGTCTCCGCATGCAGTTTGCAGTTTTGGGAGGTTTCTAGCCTACTTGGCTGAAAGCTGGAGCTTTTCTATAAGGAGTAGGGCCCTAAACCCCTAAACCCCTAAAGTGCGAATCGGTGCTTCTGCAGAGCTCCCAGGCGGCCCTGGGTGGGGGAAGTGGCACCTCCTTGGCGGTGGAGCTGCGAAATCTGGAGGAGAGGGCAAGGCTTGGGATCTCCGCCGACCTAACTTCGGGGTAACTGAGAAGCTCCTTGAGGGCGGCTCAGGCTTGTCGTGTGCCGTTATGCCGGTTTGTGAGAAGACTTGCATTCACGATTTGCGAAGGCTGTAGAGTGCGCGAAGGCATCCTGGCCACTATCACTCCAGGGACTATGTCAGCTCAACCAAAATTTTGAGTGGTGTCCGTGGTCTGGGCTTTCACAACATGTCAACATGTCCCACCCCACCCCGGCACCGGTCCCTGTGCAGGCGGGAGCATGAAGAGAACTTGAATGCCGCGGCCCCGAACCCGCTGACATTTCGGCTGCCTTTGCAGACAGAATCTATGGTGTCAAGATCGAGGAGGTTACGAGCCACCGGCATGTACCGGGCCGCTCAGATACCAACTCATAGGCAGACAGAACAAGTAAGAGCACCGACATGTCAAGACTGAGAAGCCCACAACACGGGCAGCGACCCTTCTGCTGTGTCAAGAGACTTTGTTTCCAAATCCGGGGCAGCCCTATTTTGGGTCCGCGAAGTCTTGCTTCCGGATGCGACGAAATCGTTGCAGGAGAGGAGACTGGAATTTCTAGAGCCTCTCACGATTTCCAGGTCTTGTCTGGCGTCTCATCACGAGCAATTCGATACGGTGATGTTGTGCAGCTGCGCTCCCGGCATGGACTGCACTTGCAACTTTCAGACTGCGTGCGAATCTGCGAATCCTCATCTGCTTTATGTAGACATGGGCAAGTCCTCTCGCCCTAACAAGCTAAAGAAGGTTCAATGAGGTGCACGGCCGAGAGTGAGAAAGAGAGCCTGCTTCCGTAGCCACGTTGCTTCAAGCTTCAAGCAGCACCCGTGCAAGCAGCTGACCGAAACGTACGTGGAGTTCGGAGCAGAGAATGGCGGTGCGGGTGTTGGTCATCCTTGCCAGTGTCTGTCATGCCCTGCATGATTTTGATGGCGCCTGCAATTCAGAGGATGCCAGCCTCTCCGACGAAGCCGGCTTCGTGCAGGCCAAGCTGTCGCCGACATCAAGCGAAGAGGAAGTCCGGCGCCCGCATCGCCAGCGACGTGGGCCTCACACCGCCAACGGCTACTATGGCGACGACACGGAGGCGAATGCAACGGGCTGGCGCCGTCCTCATCGCTGGAGCCGGTGGTACACTCCAACCTGGTGGGACGACCTGCCCAGGAATAAGCCACAGCCGCAGAATCCTCCGACAAGCAACGTCCAGCGCGGCAACTTCATCCACTACGTGAGCAGCTGTACTCAGTGCGACCGCATCCTGTGCCCCTCCGAATTTCATCCGTTCCGAGCTTACTACCGGATCAGCAGCACTCTGTCGGAGTGGGGCTGTGACAAGCTCGGCGCCTCACCTCTCCTAACGCTCTCGGAAGATGGGGTGGACGTGTTCGTGGTGCAGAGGGCCACGCTTCACTATGTTTCAGCGTGTGGTCAGTGTGGCAGCGAAGTCGATCTCTGCTCCAGCAACATCTGGTGGCAAAACGAGCCTGACATCGAGGACCAAGAGGAGTTTCGGGCCGGGTCAGACCTCACAACATGGGGTTGCGAAAATGTTGAAAGCTCGCCCACCATCGTCCGCAACTCAGTTACCGGCGCGATCTACGTCGTGGAGTGGGGTGTCGAGGACCCGTGGCAGCTTGTTTTTCGGCAGACAGCGCCATTCTTCTTCGAGAAGAGTCCCCCGCAGTGGACTTTGAATGAGAATGACACGACTGCGGACAACTTTGCCATCTTGAGCGATCTTGAGGATTTCCGGGTTGGCGGGGCCTTCTACTTCAAGCTCTGCTGGCCGATCGAGAACTTTGCGTGCCAGGTTTGGAAGCAGACCTCCAACCCTGTGACCACCACTGATGGATCGGTCGATGGCTACGCAGCCATTAACGTGTCGTACACCGGTCAGTCTTGGGGTGGACTCCACTACAATGGCAACCAGGCTTTGCTGGATGGCTCCAGTGTCGCCCCGAACTCCAACTACTGGTGGTACTCGATCGGGGCGTTCAATGAATACAACGGCGGATTTCCAGGACCAGCCGGGAATATCGCAACTCAGGTGGAGCTGTGGGTATCCACCGTGGAATTGGAGACCACCCCGCCGCCTGCCCCGGTACCGCTGCTTCCGCAACCCGCTGCCAACTGGCAGCTCGTGTTTCGCCAAACGAACAACTTCTTCTTCGCTCCGGGCATGTTTTCGCTGAACCCAAGCGACTCGACGGCACAAAACTATGCCATCCTGGACCAGCTTGACACCTACAAAGTTAGCGGGAAATTCTACTTCATGATGAGGTGGAGAAAGGAGGACGACGAATCTCAACTTCTTGATCAGATTTGGTGTCAGAGCTCCAACCCTGTGACCACCACTGATGGGTCGGTCGATGGTTATGCAGCCATTAACGTGTCGTACACCGGTCAGTCTTGGGGTGGACTCCACTACAACGGCAACCAGGCTTTGCTGGATGGCTCCAGTGTCGCCCCGAACTCCAACTACTGGTGGTACTCGATCGGGGCGTTCAATGAGTATAACGGCGGATTTCCAGGACCCGCAGGACCCGGCGGTATTATCGCCAGTCAGGTGGAGCTGTGGGTGTCCGACATTGACTTGGACATCCCCGCGCCGCCTGCCCCGATACCGCTGCTTCCGCCACCCGCTACTACCAACTGGCAGCTCGTGTTTCGCCAAACGAACAACTTCTTCTTCGCTCCGGGCATGTTTTCGCTGAACCCAAGTGACTCGACGGCACAAAACTATGCCATCCTGGACCAGCTTGACACCTACGAAGTTAGCGGGAAATTCTACTTCATGATGAGGTGGAGAAAGGAGGACGACGAATCTCAACTTCTTGATCAGATTTGGCGTCAGAACTCCAACCCTGTGACCACCACTGATGGGTCGGTCGATGGTTATGCAGCCATTAACGTGTCGTACACCGGTCAGTCTTGGGGTGGACTCCACTACAACGGCAACCAGGCTTTGCTGGATGGCTCCAGTGTCGCCCCGAACTCCAACTACTGGTGGTACTCGATCGGGGCGTTCAATGAGTATAACGGCGGATTTCCAGGACCCGCAGGACCCGGCGGTATTATCGCCAGTCAGGTGGAGCTGTGGGTGTCCAACACTGCTATCCCGGTTCCATTTTGACTGAGCTCGAGATCGACCATGTAGACCACGTCGCAATCTGCTGCGGAGCTTGTTGTGTTTTACTTTCGCACTTTGCCGTTATGCTGTGTACACAGGGGATGAGAAAAGAACTCCCTGCTGTACACTGTGGGAGCCTGTTTTGACAGAGACTGTTGCGTTGCTCGGCTGATCCCGGCCATTCGCTGGCAAACGCTGTGAGTATGTTAGTATGTGCAGTACGGCGCACTCAGCCGCCTGAAACTGTGATAGTCTCTGCCTTGTGAGGGGTCCATTTGCCGGCGAGCCTTTGCAACCTCTGAGCTACGATCTTCAAACTCAAGGATGCTTCGTGTGGAATTCGTTAAAGCGTGTCAGGCATGCTGGGACAGGGCAAAATGGATCCGTGAAGTTTTGCTGAGCAGTCGTCTGCCCAGGCCTTTTAAAGGCAGGGCGTTTTAAGCTTCGCGAAAAAAGGGGCTTAGGGCTGGAAGCAAGGAGGCGGTGCCGGGAGTGCCTGCTTCGAAACTATCAAAGATCCTTCCTTTGGCCAGGCAGCATATCCGCACGGGCATGTACATGGGCGCCACGCTCTTAGGATCACAGCAGGACCACTCCTGTGCCCCAGCCTGTGTGTCTGCTGTATTCGAGCAAAGCGACGTTTGCTGGACGGGTTCTTGATCATATGTTCAGAGCTTTACCACCAAAGCAAGCTCCAAGATGGCCTGTTTCATTGCGTTCCGATCGAAAGGTTTCGCAGGTTGCTGGGCAGGTGTTCAGTGCGCCTCAGGCGATCGATCGCTACATGGCCACCTGGCACTTGTAGGTCGCACAGGTTCAAGAGGCAACAGATAACCGCCACTACATGTGAGAGTCACTTCATTCGGCTCTTTTTGTTCAGGCACGATGCCAATTTGTTCGACCTTCGATGTGATCGTGACAGGCTATTGATGCTTCCCATCCGGATCTGCTGAGGATCTTTTACCCTCTCACCAAGTCCAGAATGGAAGCCATCGCACGCAGTAGTCGGAAAGACTGGGGCTTGCATGCCTTGATCACGAGGTCCGCGCAAAAGCGTCGGCGCAGGAGCAGGCGACCTCACGCCGTGTGGAGCTTCAGGCGTGTCTCGCGTGTGATTGGCTTCTTGCCTCTTGCAGCAACCAGACCTCAAGAAACCGAGCAGAAGCCACAAAGAGTGAAGGACGGAACCATGGCCTCCTGGCTCACGGTCGACGCCTCAGGCGCTGTGTCAAAACGTCACCCAACACCCAACACAGGTCTGGCAAAAAGGCTGGACTTTAATGATTGAGTTTCGATGCCCGACGGTCTTCACGAACCGCAATGACTGCAAGTATGGCTCAGGTGAACCCCTTCTTTTCACACCGAACCCAAGGCCGGCCTTCGAGTTTCATGTGCCATGTCATCGAAGCAGAGCCACCAGAGCCAGCAGAGCACAGAGGACGTACAGAACGTGAACGCTTTCAGAGAGCCGCCTCAGCGTGCGTGTCTCTCAGGCGAGCTGGTTTCCTTCAACGAGATGGTTGGAAGCCTAGTGGCTAGTGATCCCTGGCTGTCCTACTCGTAGCTGCGAAGTCGTCAGTTGAAAGATTTTGAAAGTTCTACAGACTCGACCGTTTCGAAACACTTGTTGTACACGAACTGTTGTAAAAACACTTCGAGCGCCGGCCCGAGGTCTCTTTGGAAAGTGCGCGGCTCCAAGAGGGCAGTGGCTCTTCGACTGACTTCGTCTTCTTATCCAGCGAAATTCTTTCGAAGAGCAGCAACCGGTTTTAGGGGCTGTCTGAAGTCGCGGAGCTTGGAAGGCCTCTGGAACGCAGGATGTTCAAGGTCAGCGGACAACTTTTCCAATCCTCGGCAGGATGGGCAGGCGCATAGGCCTCATGTGTACAGGAGCAATTCAGGAAGCTGCTTTGGGACTTAAATCTCGCCGATAATGAGAGCAGCGTCCAAGCTCGGCAAGAACAAACGATACTGGTACAGTGATCTCAGCCAAAATGAAACGATGGTTTGCGCATTACAGGCCCCCCCGCCTTCATTTATTACTCCAACATGTAGATATCCATGCATCTGCCATTTGCTGCCACTTCTGGCTCGCAGCATGGCTTTGAGACGGTGCAAGGCTGTGCCTCGCATGTGCCTGCACCAAGCAGCGGTGCAGGCATGCTAGCTGCGCCCCAGCTCGTACCAACTTTGCCGAGGTGGGCGTGCGCCGGAGAGAGGGCAGAGGTTGCAACGGGCGGGCGCTTCAGGCAGCCTTCATTTTCACACCCCGTCCCGGACCCGGCGACTCGCTGCAGGCGGCAGGCAGCTGGGCTGGACCGGGCAGGGATTTACCCAAGCAGAGCCCTTATACGAACACGGCGCAGGTGCTCCCAGCCAGCGCGGCTTTCTTGGCAGCAGGCGCATTGGCGTCACACCAGGGGCATTAGTAATGACCAGAAGACACAGAAGCACGTCTTTGCAGGCCTCGGCTCCTTCAGAAGACGGCTTGGGGCAGCACGGCTGGGAAATGCAGCCGTGGCGGACATCAATGCTCATCTGCAAAGATACCCTCGTACGCCTACTGGATGTTGCGAGGATGCCAGGACAACACAAACATCACATAGCAACACTGGCCGGCCAAGCAATCCGTCATGTGCGCTCGTCTCCACATCCATTGTCGCGAAGACCAGATCATGGATATGGACCTGTCGCGAAAATGCGCCGCAAAGCCAATCGGCACGAGCACATGCTAAGGCCTCCTGGTCCTAGTCACTAGAGTCGCCAACGAGACCCGGGAAACCTTTGACCACTCCTGCATAGCCCCACTTTCGCCGACGATCAAGAAGCACGAAGCACGCAAAGCGAAAGTGCCGCTCGTGAACAAGAACACCCACACCGATGCTGAAGAGAGACGGACTTCTGAAGTGTTCGCAAGCTCCGAGCCTGTTTAAGTTGAACTCTGCAGCCCAGGCGACGTCGATCCTTCGGTCGACCGAAGCCGTCTCCCCACAGAGGCCTTCGACGGTCTGCGACCTGTGACAACCAAGTAGGATAGGAACACCGGGACCGGGACAGTTTCCTTTTTGTATCCCTTGCTCGTACCGTGATTTCGTGCTGAAACCTGCCAGGAAAGGGCGTCAGGTGGTTCCTTTGGGGCCTTGGCTCCAGAGGTTCTTCTCCCTTCGGAACAGGCCTTTCTGGCTCTGTCAGACTGCACGGCTGTTTGACAGGGCACGAAGGGATTTAGCTTGACTTAGGCTGTCGTCCGTGACCATTGCTGTCATGCGGGGCAGATCCCGGATCGGATTATGCGAACTACGAATCGTATGTGATGATTTTTGCTTTTCGACACTCGGCCTGACGGATCCGATTGCAGAGGCAATTCTGGAACTACTCCGTCTCACCGAGGACGCTGCCGTTAAGCTTTGCAGTGTTTCGTGCGATGACGACTGTTCCAGCAATGTACATGTGGCTGAGTGCGGTTACTGGAATACCTGTGCATCTCCCTTCCGACATGCTGGCCTGCACGTCTTGCAGCTTGAGCTTGATTCACCCGAGATGACAATCGCAGTCCATGTTGCCATCTTTCATTCCCAGCTCGTTGCCGTCAAACAGGAACTATTTTTTCGCGCGCAGGCCGGAGAGTCCGGAAGGGGTCGTATGGGATTATGTCCTGCTTCGACTGTTGTATACGTCGAGTGAGCGAGCGCGGCAAATGCAAGACGGTTGAGCTCAAAACCTGGAAAGGTGGTGTGCTGAAGATTCTCGCCAAGCGATCTTCGTAGCCATCGCAGCTTGCCTGCATCGTGGGGCGAATTGTAAGCTAAGCAGGCTCAGGCCGAACGTGCCTCTTATCGATATCCGAGCCCAGGTGCATCTAGGGGCTCTGGCTGCTCCCTTCTTCTTTACGTGGAAGGCCCTCAGCCATACACTTCATGGCATAGCACGAGGTGTTGTGGGGACCGGCTGTTGCTGAGACTCTGAAGCCCTGCTCTGACGCTTTCCAGGCATTCGCTTGCTTCTGTGCCTTCAGCTCAGTGGGAGGATTTTCAACACCGTGGGATTGTTGGCTTGCGCTGGTTGCCTTCACCAAGGTTGGGTACGTTATGACAGGCATGGTGCCATTTTTGCGGAGCCCACGATGGGAAGCACCTTTCAAACCTCCACGCAAGGCATGCTTGGGGTGACACTGTCGTACCACCGGCAACTGTCTCATCGGTCCTTCGTTCTCGGCTCAGATTTCAGCTTCACGATCTCGATTCGTCTGAGTCTGGCATCGGTTGACAAGCTCAGGTGACCCCGAAGTGGTTAGAGCTGCAGCCTCAGGCAGACTTGTGCTTGCCAGGCAGCCGGCTTTCAAACATTACGCATCCGAAATTGGCAATCATGGAAACTGTGCCCACCTGCGGGCAGTCCACTTTCCTGGACGGTATTCTCGGTGTCTCGAATTCGCTCCCATCGCCCGGTTTCTTTCACTTGCCTTTCATGACTGCACTACAGTACAAGTAGCAGCTCTGTCCAGCACCTCCGTCCTTCCAACAGCCACGGCAAGTCTGCGTTTGATATCCAAGCCCTTTGGCGTCCTTGCTGATGTCCTCAGGCTTCCTCGATTAATTCACCGGATGCTTAGGTATTTTCTCGCCTACTGCGGCGCCTTAGCCGTTCAGGGGCCGCCAATCAGTGGGAGTCTGAGATCGGACAGCAGTCCCCATAGACCCCCTGAAAGACCAGCAACGCATCTTCACAGGAGGTTCCCGGAAGTTCGCTTCTGACTGACGACAGCATGAGTGCAGTCTATCATGCAATGTACTAGATGCAGCGGTGGGTGGAGCTTCGTCTTCCGCTACGACTTGTGGAGAGGTTGGGTATCGTCCCATCGTCATCACCATGGGAACACTGATGCCGAGGCCAGTCCTCGGAGCTTTCAGGGGTTTTCCTGCTTTCAGGGGGATGCGTACAAGTTGCACTTCAAGGGGGTAGCACCAGGCACCTTTTTGCAGGAATCTGATCGTGTTTTTTTTATGCGTGCAGCGAAGTGGAGGAGCAGCTTGCTCTACAGGAAGTCCAAATCGCAAGCACATTCTCAGGATGATGTGCATTCTCCTCGCGACGGATTCTGGTGGCACTGCACCCGGCACAACATCAGATGCAGGGCCTGTCGACAAGCCTTCAGCTGTTGTGCTGCTCTCTAGCTAGCATGTAAGAACTGTTGTCGACCTGCTGTCACTATCTGCAACCAACTCAGAAAAGCGTGGCATCTTACGTCGTGTTTGAGTGTTCGTCGATGCCGAGAAAGAATCTCATCGCCCGCATAGCCATCCTTGCCGGACGGACCAGCAGCGCTGCAAAAGGCAACTTGGGCAACTTGACCGAGGTCTCACATGGGGTGGCTATTTGATGCGGATGGAACAAAGATCCGGCGCGACAAGAAGAACGCATCAGATTTGTCGCACGAGCCCCATTGCAGAGGCTGGGGGTTCCATGTGACACAAATTCGTTGCTCAGGTCGCAGCGGTTCTACCAGTTCCTTCAGAAGACTTATGGTATACACTGCTATTCGGCTTCAACATCAAAAGATTTGGGAGCATAAGCCAGCAAAAACCTATCACTTGGATACCACAAAGGTGTGGTGCTGCCAATCTTGGCCCTCTACGCGTACGGCGGTTTGCCCTGCGTTCTGTGGGGCTTTTTCGTACGCGCAGCCCGGCACAGTATTCCTTAATTGTCTAGTGAGTCTAGTGGTGCAGACCATTTGCGTGAAACGAGCTGATATGCTGTTTCGCTGCAAGTTAACAATCTTTGTTGAAGCATCTGTTTCTCTAGCCGGTTCTTGATGTTGTCGAACTGAGGTAGTTTGGTGCCAGCCCCGGCATCCAGCATGACTCAGAGTTGCGGCTGACTGTGAATTTGGGCAGCCTCGGGCTGTGGGCAGGTTCTGGCACATCACCTGGGCTGTAAATTCTGTGACTCGGTCGCAGTGCTCATACCTACAGCCAACCCTCACGAAAGTACTTTCCACCCGGTACCAACTATGACAGACTCAACAGATGCTGACGCTTATTCCTGCACTGCTAGTCGTTTCCCCCTGTTATTAAACACTCCCTACTAATAAAACCACGTTTTGGCGAATCCTCCCGAAACCATCCCCGCCCTTTAAAACCTATTCTGATCTAGGGGGGAGGGTGCAAAAAGACCCTTGAAGACGAGGAGAAGCGGAGGGCGGGGAGGGCCGGGGGCGGCGGGCGGGCTGGGGGGGCGGAAGGGACAAGCGGGTGAAGGGTTCGCACAGAAAAAAGGCAAACTTGTTTTGGGCGGATTTCGCAGCAGAAACTCTGGACGTAGTGGCCCGGCTAAGTGGGGGTTGGGTCGTCACAAGGGAATCCCTGTAAACAAGCTCTGACCGCTTCGGAATGGGTGTGCAAGCGCTGCTTCAGAATCCCAGGTCAGCCACGTGAGGCCCTGAGTCTGGGTCCTTTGTTGCTGCAGGCTTCGGGAGGCACAGGGTCTCATATGATCTTAGGAGAAATTTACGAGATTGCATCGGTCGTTTTCCGGTGGATGTGCTGAAGATTGAGGTCTGGGGATTTCAAGACTGGAAGACAGGCCGGGCACGGCAACTGCCGGAAGCCCTTGATAGCTTGTCATGCAAAGTCGGAGCCCCTCCCTCCCAACCCCTGGTTCAAGCCAGGCGATCTCTCGATGAACAACTGGCTTGCTGTTGACTGAGTTCTGGTCAGTCTAGTCGAGTCGAGTCCAGTCACAGCACGCATCCGCACATGGCCCAACTTGGAGGATGCTGTTAGAGATGTCGCGAGAGCTTTCCAGCTAAGATCGGGATCTTGGCCTTCGGCGAGGGCTGGCACAACAATCACCACGCATTTGCCGCTAAGCCGTAGATAATGCTTTCCTGTTGTGCTGTTCAAGTTCTCGCAAGACACACAAACCTTGCCGTTTAAGGAGCGATCGTGCCGGCATGGCTTGAAATGGTGGCAGGCCCGTCGCCTTGGCTTTTCCGTGGTTTAGGGGCACGGAGCCTCGGGCACAGCCCTGGACACAGGTGGACTTCACTTGGTACACCGTCAAGTTCCTGGAGGCAGTTCGAACTCGATGGTGCAGTGGACGAAGTTTGTGCTGGACGGGTTCATGCATTAGCCGACTAGACACTAAGTCAGAAGAAGCGGTGTTCTCTGAAGAGATCTTGTTTCGACAAGAGCAAAGAGACACTCGAAAGCTGTCGTCCGGTCACTCCGAACAGAATCCAATTCTGCGAACTGCTCATATCACGAGCACCACGCATCTTCCTAGCAAATCCGTGATTCGAACTGAGCCTCGAGGCCTTCGGCTTGGCGACAAAGCTGCAGCCATGAGCTCAGTCCTCAGAGTCGATCAGAGCAGCTTTGGGCTTCCCTTGAGAAGGTATCCCCCCGAGGGCAAGATGCAGAAACTGGCGATGTAACTGGGACAGGAAGGCCCCAACTCTGCGACATGGAAGATTCAAGAGACTGCTTCTAATCACGGGCCTTTTTGCAAGCTTGCATGTCTGAAACCTTGGGAGTGGTAGACTGCAGACGTGCGGCAGGCTTTCAGCAAATCTTTCAGGAGCTGAAAATGCAGTGACCCCTGGCCGCGTTTCTGCCCCAGTGTAAAATCTCGGCTGCGAATCAGCAGCTGCTTCTCGTGAGCATCGTCGATTCTGGACGTGATGCGACGGTGCTTCTTGGTTGCGGCTGGAGCAGCACGCAATGGTCTCTTCAGAGCGAGGTGGGAAGGAGACCGTAGTCGACAGTTGCCGTAAACGAAGATGTCTAGATGGTCGCAGTGACTGGCATTCCTGCTTTCTTTCACTGTCACTGTGATCGACGGTCTCCTGGCCACATTTTCAAGCAAACTGGGTGAGAGAGCTTACCTGTTAAACGGGCTGCGCAGCCAGCAATGCCTGCTTTCGACAAGAAGCAGATGAAGCGAGGAAAACATCGCCAGCATCTCACCACCGTTTTCTTGTCTTTGCTCGAGCCTGGATGTTGCTTGAGCTGGTTTTCCTTACAAGATACAGAGATATGTCGTCATCCTTTCCCCTTCCGATGACGCCGAGGTCAAGCTCTCGGAGAACTGGAACCTGAACTGGTACAGGTACAACATCACCGAAACTGGCGAAGAGGCATCTGCCGCTGAGCCGTTTCGCGTGACCTGTATTGCCATTTAGTCTTCGAGAGCTTGATTGCTTTGGAGGCCTATGAAGTGAACTGCTGCCGTGGCGGCAGGGGCTTCTACTTCATGCACGAAACCCAGATCGCGCACCATTGGAACAGAGGAAGGCAGAAGTATTTGTAGATGTCTGCAGCCCTTCAGGCTCAGGACACTGATTTGCACAGTAAATCTGCAGACCCCACATGATTTCGAGTGCTCTTTGGTGCTTCCTTCGAGCGCTATTGGGCAGACTAAGTAAGACATACACTTGCAAATGCACGACGAACCCAACTCCCGCGCACGCGATGTTGGTGCTCATGCGTCCACATCGCTGGCGAAGGCTAGACGAACGAAAGCAACGGCAGCATGCTGCACTTTTGCCGGGCCTCTACAATCTCTAAACTGCTCGACAGCGCGCGCGACAGGTTGGCCGCCTTGGGAGTCGAATGGAGGGGGGCCCTGGCGAAAGCGCCGCAAGACTTGAAGGACTGCTGGGCTTCTCCGGGAAGGGCACTCGGACCTCACCCGTTATTGTGGGTTGGTGGTACTTGTTTCCATTTATCCAGCATGCATCTATCTACAGATCAGTTTGATTAGCCTGCAGCGCGAGGGCCTCTTGCTGGATATCGGCTTCCCTGCCGACGGTGCGCAGCGAGTCCTGGGGAAGCTTCAACAGCCGCTGCCGTGCCAGCATGGGGCGAAGGCACTGCAGATGCAAGAGGACTGTTCAGCAGTGCAGCAGCAGCAGCAGCAGCAGCAGCAACTGAGCACAGCAAGCAAAAGAGCAGGGCAGCAATGACAGCACTCGCACCGCTACCGCCAGCCTTGTGCCTGAGGGCAAAGCTCGGGATCGCGAGAGCAAGCTTGCTCAATCAAAATTATTGCGTGGTTTCTTGTACATCTCAAGATCCCAGCATACTCCATCATCCAGATCCGTGACATTTGCATTTATTCGCACAGGCAGGAGATTGCTCCAAAAGGCTCTCGTTGTCAATGTGTCAACTTCATGTCTTCGATAGTGCGGATAATGCTCCTGGCAGGGCTACTTGTACTTCTGCATCGCTGACCTTTTCAGAGCCGAGTGGAGCTTGCTAAAGCCACCAGGTTCTACAGCTGCTGCACTCGTGGTCTGTCCCAGACGAGGTGCGAGTGGTTGACCACCTTCACTCGTTGTCATACTCACACACTCTCTTGCTCTCGTCTTCTTTGTCTCTTCAGACGCTTCGCGCTGCCATCGCGCGCCATCCGGAGCTGCTAGCCGCGACACTGGCAGAACTCCAGGCTGAAAGATTGTTTAATTTGGTGGACCCTGACCGAAGTGGATCTTAGGCTTATGCACTTAGCCGTGAGCTCAGGCCACTGATGAAGCACTCCAAGCTTCGCTTCCGCAAGACGTGCTGCTCGGCCAGCCATTCGATCCCCCTCAGTTCCCCATCAGCCCAGAGAAAGCAGCAGATTGAAAGCCACAAGGTTCAGCGAGCTGGTGCAGAAGTTCCCTGAGGCAGGCGGGTAATTGTTTTAGTTTCACTCGGTCTTATTGTACTTTGTGACATACGTCCTGAAGCGCGAGTTTCTTTAAGCCTGCCAAGAAGATAAGAATAAACGCAACTGGATGTTCTCCGTCGTTGCGAGACAATGGCCACTTCTACACGCATGCAAGCACGAAGCCGCATGAATGCATGCATGGCTGCATGACATGTATGTATGCAGGTGTGTGTGTGTGTGTGTGTGCGTGCGTGCGTGTGTGCGTGTGCTTGTGCGTGGGCGTGGGCGTGTGCGTGCGCGCGCGCGGGCGTGTGTGTGTGTGTGAGAGAGAGAGAGAGAGAGAGGTGTATGTAGGTCCACGCATACGATACATACATATACATACGTACATAATATATATATATATATATACACATACATACATACATACATACATACATACATACATACATATTATTCATTATGCAAATTAATATATAGGTATCTATATCTATGTACTTATCTATCTATCTTATTGATTTATCTATCTATTTACCTATTTACCTATCTATTTATTCTTATTTATTTTCTATTTGTCTAGCTATCCAGCTATCTATTTGTCTATCTATCTTTCTTTCTTATTTATTTATCTATCTATCTATAAGTATACCTACCTGTCTATCTATCTACCTATCCGAACTATCTATCTATCTATCTATCTATCTATCTACGTATAAGTACATATATGCACAGATACATGGACATGGATCTCAAACGCAGGTCTTGCACACGAGCATTTCACACATGTCAGCAAAGCGATCTGCCAGTCATGCCATACTGGTTTGGCTCCATGGACGGCTCTGCTCGCCTAGGTGTTGCTGGCGGGCCGGTCAAACGTCGCGGAATTGCAAGAACTTTTCAGTTCATGGGGCCTGCCCTGGGAGGAGGCCTTCTACGTAAACGCTGTTGGGATGCATGCTGCGCTGGGTAGTTCAGGCCACTAGTGACGGCTGGAGCTTCTTAGCCATGCCATTCATGCGTTTAGCGCAAGCAAACACAGGAAGCCTTCTTTCCTCGAGGGATGTGGTGGCAGGTCCTGCTTCGTAATGCGGTTACTTGGGCCAGCATTTGTCCCCGAACCTCTCTGGCTGAAACCCTCCTCTTGGCCCTGTTCTGCTGGTTCTTAAAGTTCCTGAGCGGAGTCCTCCTCACCACATTGGACCCTTTGGTTCCGATCCTGGAATGAAGACTTAAGCCACCTACAGTGGCGCTGACGGTGGCTGCATCTAAGATCTTAGCCGAATCTTACCCACGTAATTGCAGCTTTGTCCCCTGACCTCAAGCTCAAAGTGCTCCAATTGGCCAGATTGTGTGAACCAGCATGAAAGGAAACGGTGGTGGTGGCTGATCTGGTCAGCCAGGTCGAACGAGTAGTGCGCCTTTTTATCCCTCCCTCTAGTGGTGTTGGGTTCTGGCAGCACATGTAGGTCAGCTTAAGGCCCCTGCACGTGCACTGCAGCTGTATTTTGATATGAACTTCCCGAAAGCACCAGGCGCGCAAGCAAACGGAGAGAGAATCCAGCAGTGTAGACCAGATACAAGCCTGTTCGTTGATGCAGAGCCTGCTTTTGCTGGTGATTTGCTGAGACCATGTGAGACAGATTTTGAGACATTTCATGCGTGGAGGCTGCAAGAAGGGCGCCGCGACTGCTGCTGCGCATGCCGGAGGACGCCATACAGTATGAAGCCTGCAGACAAGGTGCATTTCGGGGAGGATGCTGTGAGAGGCCAGAGCATGGGGGCTGGATGCAGCACACTTGTACATGCGTAGTTGCTATAGAGGATCTGGCCAAGCTCCTCCACTTCCTGCGCAAGGATCCGCTTGCCCGGCCGGTTTGACATTGAGGAGCAAGGGGAACCTGTTCAGGGAACATCGTGGACCTTGGCACGCCTTAGCTTTGTCGTTTTGTGTTCGTTTGTTGTTCGTCGAAAAAATGCACGGAATGTTTCATGCCTCGTGTCAAAATCGAGAAGATCTACAAGCAAGCGTCTTCGAGCCAGGCTGGGTCCGCTGCTTTCTGCCGACCAGCTAGCTTATGTGGCGCAACCCTTACCAGCTGAAGGGAAGTATGGCACAGCGTATCCAGAGGCTATACAGCTTGTTCCAAAATACTCGAGAGTGCCTTGGGCTTGTCTATGTCTTGACAAGGCGAAAAACTATCCGATGCTCCTCCTTGGGACATTGGACGCTGAGCGCCAGCTGGCCCCACTGGTGCAGTTTCTGCCAGGGGGCCCGGAATTTCCCCACTACCTGGATCTGAGGAAGAATCGCATGATACGGTATCTCCAGTCGAGCCGAGTTCTGCCAGAAATTCCCAAGTCTGCTAGAGCTGTCCTGGCAACCCACTACTTGGCGTGACACGTCAAACGGTTTCCTCACACAGACATACCTCATGACAGGAGGGGAGTGTCAGAGAAAAGAGGTACGTTAATTGCTGTACGATCCTGGGTGGTAGGCTCCTTGGTGTAAGGCCCTCTCGGACTAATTTCTTGCAATTCCACCGAACCTCCTCCTCCTCCTCCTCAATTTTTCGCATCTTGCTTGGACCAAGGCGCCACTTTCTTGGAGTTGATCCCGCTAGCACGTAGCTCGGCAAAAAGCTTCGATGGGCTGCAAGCCCGAACAGAGGGATGCCCCGGGCGACAGTCTGTAAACTTGTCAGCTTGCAGATGGCTTGAGGCAATGCATCGGGCTGTATGCCTGGCCAGATTCACTTGCTGTTGTCGAGCCAACTGTTGCTCGGAAGACTTGGAAGAAGCTGTCGATTTGAGCTGGTATACTCCCAGCGCGCCAGCTTGTGATCAGATTGATTCTCTCTGGCCTTACACAGTTTGATCCGCCCCACCAAGTTGCATCGGTCAATGAGAATCAAGTCTCCAAAGATGAATTCTCCGCCCGTTTGTGAAGATCGGATGTTGCTTTCGACTGAGGCTCGCTTCCTAGTGGAAGACTGTGGCTACTCGCTTGAAGAGCTTCGGGAAGATGTCGCACTCCTGGGGCACCACACCGGCAGACGTGTTGTCATGTGTTGTTTGGCTCAGCTTCCCGGTATTAGGTTGCTTCGGGATGGGTTCAGTTCAGGCAGGGCTTCACAGGCTCCATTGTTCCGTGGATAGGCCAGTAGTTCACACTTAAAGGACTCCCGATGCTGCCTCCCAGGTATTCCTTTGAAGCTCGGGTGCATCCACGGGGCCGCTTCGTGCAGCATTTGGGTATGGCCCGATTGCCACTCAAGGCCTTGACGGCTGTGGATGTGGCTCGACGTGACCCTAACGACACACATCACTCCATAGACCTGACGGCCCCTTTGCTCATATATTTAGGGTCGGCCAGCTTCCTGCAGTCAGGACAACCACTTCTGCCAAATGGTGGATGCCGGCAAAGACGAGTACCTGGCATTCATGTTTCAGCTGCGGAGAACCGCGCGGAAGGAGCAAAATCAGGAGCGTTCCTGGTTTAGCTCACGGACCTTAGAAATGCGGGACCTAAGTGGGGTACTGCGAGTCGAAACCCAAGACCCTAAACTCTAAACGCTTCTGCGGCGGCTCCAGTCTTGGCTCATGTTTTTTGTCTTCAAGCCGGAACGCTACCACAGAGAATGTCCCTCCCGCCCGCGTGGAATGCTGGCTGGCCCCAGCAGCAGATGGCAATGTATGGAAGGCTCGCAGCGCCTGCAACACAAAGCATAATGGGCGCCAACCTGGCCCCGACGATGCTCTTGGCTCAGTCTTCGCCAACCTCATATGGTGAACAGGAGCCCACGCACGAGTCCGAACCCTGCTTCGACGGGTTGTGCCTGAATGAGGCGCGGGAGAGTGAAGAAATGAGGGGAGAATATGTATATTGGGGCTATGACTTGAATCCAGCCTTGCCTCCCGCCATGCCGGCTTGTTTTACGACGAAGTTCGGCACTGTTTGCA